TAGAATTACTGTACCAGCTGGGAGCAGGTTTCCTTGGGACTGAAAGCCTCTGACATCAAGTAGTTCCCTAAACCACCCTGCTTCAAGGCAGGCTTTTACATTTTACATATGGGGTGCCAAGAAAGTGTCAGAACTGGTGAGTTCCAGAATCAACCCACTGGTTCTTTTCCCCATTTACAGTCATATTCCTGCAACTGCTACCTACCTTTTCTACGCCATCCACCCCAACTTGGCTATCTTCAGAACCAAGAACAGCACCAGCTGCTCCTCTGAAAATATATCCAGGAGCCCTCATAATGTCAGTATGGGCCTGAAGTGTAAAGATGCTACACACAGCACCAGGTTAGTGAGCAACCCCCTTCAAGACAAAATGGCATGTGCAGCTGGATATGAAAATACAAAGGGATGCTTACAATAAGAGTTTTTTCTCCAAGTCTTTGCTATGTCAACCAGACTTTCAAACAACCTCCAATTTGGACCACTTACCCAACCCTGAACTCTGAGTACACAGCAGTTTGCAAGACAGTGTGATTAGGCATATGCTTTTTAACACACAACCAAAAATGAATAAATGCTGTCACCCTCCCCCCTGTAATTGATGGTTTGAATGGAATCTGGAAGAATAGTTAAGGCCTTATGATCATGGGTTGGGGAGGGACAGGACAGACTGGAGGCCACAGAACATTAATGCCCCGTGTGTGGGGAAGTATAAATCCAGCACAGCAGCAAAACGGAGTCTGCTAAAGGATCAGGACAGGAAACCAGAGTGAAGTGGATTTTTGAGGTTAGGAAAACCATGTTCCCTAGAATATTTTCCATTCCTATCAAGGTCTTCATGAGAGATGGGGCACTGCTTTTGTCATGTGGTCAATAGTAGGTAATTATAGGACTGAAAGGGACCTCAAGAGGTTCTCTAGTCCAGTCCCCTGCACTCATGGCAGGACTATTATCTAGACCATTCCTGACAGGTGTTTATCTAAGCTTAAAAATCTCCAATGATGGAGATTCCACAACCTCCCTAGGCAATTTATTCCAGTCCTTAACCACCCTGATAATTAAGAAGTTTTTCCTAATGTCCAGCCTAAACCTCCCTTGCTACAATTTAAGCTCATTGCTTCTTGTCCTATCCTCAGTGGTTAAGAACAGGTTTTCTCCCTTCTCTTTTAACAACCTTTTATGTACTTGACAACTGTTATGTCCCCTCTCAGTCTTCTCTTTTCCACACTAAACAAACCCTAAACAAACCCAATTTTTTCAACCTTTCCTCAGTTTTCTAGCCCTTTAATCTTTTCGTTGCTCTGCTCTGGACTGTCCAATTTTTCCACATCTTTCCTGAAATGTGGCGCTCAGAATTGGACCCAATACTCTAGTTGAGGCCTAATCAGCATGAATTCTTGCTTACAACACTCCTGCTAATACATCCTAGAATGATGGTTGGTTGGTTGGTTTTTTTGCAACAGCGTTATGCTGTTGGCTCATATTTAGTTTGTGGTCCACTATGACCCCCAGATCCCTTTCCGCAGTACTCCTTCCTAGGCAGTCATTTCCCCTTTTGTATGTGTGCAACTGATTAAGTGGAGTACTTTGCATATGTCCTTATGGAATTTCATCCTATTCAGACCATTTCTCCAGTTTGTCCAGATCATTTTGAATTTTAATCCTATCCTCCAAAGCACTTGCAACCCCTCACAGCTTGATATTGTCCACAAACTTGGTAAGTGTACACTCTTTGCCAGGGGTAGGCCAACTTTTTGGCCTGAGGGCCACATCTGGGTATGGAAATTGTAGGGCAGGCATGAATACCTGGTGGGGGAGGGGGACTCTATGGGGTGTAGCATGGGGGGGGGTTAAGGAATGTTAGGGAGGTGGGGGACACATGGGGTGTGGGCCTCTAGGGGCAGTACCAGGGACTCCAAGGGGGCCATACCACTGGCTGTTTTCGAGGCTCTTGAGAGTAGAGCCGTAGGAGACACTGAGGGGATGGGACGTGCTGCAAGTGTATTCACAACTTTAAGGCTATGTCTTCACCACAAAAAGGTTTTTATCGTCTTTAAAAAAAAACAATTCTTTTGGCAGCAAAGACAGCCTTTGGAAACAAAATATTTACCAACCTCCATTCAGGGATTTTACTTTGCTAAAGTTGTTAACTTATAACTAGAAACAGAACAGGGAAGCCAGTTTCAAGCAAGCAATGATGTAAAATGTAATCAACTCACATGAGAAAAATCTGAATCCCAGTCCTTCCACTTACTAGCATCTCAGAAGTATCCAGAAGCACTATTTAGAATCAGGGCCCCATTATTATGATGTATTTAGATTAGGGCAGTCCTACCCCAAGAAGAGCTTACAAGTAAAGGAAGCTTAAAGTGTTAAATTATAAATACCTAAGTGTGTCCATTTATTGCTTTATGATCTTAAAGTATTTAGAAGATGCTCCAAGGCAGTAACAGCAGAAAACAATAATGTACATCATTTTATTACAAAATTGTTAAAAAAGTAATACAATGCAATATTCTACAAAATATAAGATCAGCTATTTTGCTACTTCCTATGTTTTACTCTGCTAAAAACATCAGACTATCAGTCACTGAATTTTAAAGAAACCATTAAATATGCAGAAACATTCCACAACATCCGTTTTTTGTTTTTAAGAACCTAACTGTAGCGGCCCTCAGCTACTACTTACATTAAAAAATATAGGTCTCCCTACAAAGAATCACATTACCTATACACAATTCTGTACAATTTTTTTTATACTGAAGCTAACAATGAGCTGCACTTGAGTTCACATTCTTAGCAAAATATTGGACTTCGAGCACAAATCTTTACAGCAGGACATCCATTTACTCTTCATCTTCATCCTCCTCCTCTTCGTCTTCCTCCTCCTCTTCATCCTCCTCATCTTCATCCTCTTCAGGTTCTGCCTTCTTCTTAGATCCTGTGGGCCTACCAGGACCTTTCTTTCCTGCATCACTCTTGCCCTTGGCACGGTATGCTGCAACATCCTGAAAGAGTGATGCCATTAAGTTTCAAGGAATGAATTACGTCCCTGTAAATCCCGAGACTAACGTTAATTTAACGTTTGTGTTATACTGAACTGTACAATATATGAATTAGATGCGTTAAGAGCAAGGGTCTCAACCTGGCACTTAAGACCCCCCCCAAGGAATCCCCAGATCAGATTTCAGGGGCTTATAGCCTTCCTGCTTTTTCTGTATATTTTAAGATGCAATTTTGGTAAAGAGCAGACTGAGAACCCCTGCAATATCCAGTCTGAATATTTTTACATTTTTGTGTTTCCCTACACAGTAAGGCCTTATCTAAACCATTTCTAGAGAAACTGAATGTTCCTCCGTTTTCTGTCACAGTGTGTTGTCTATTCAGGATTGTGAGCTAGCGATGCTTTTTTCCCCTTCTGTCAAGCATAAAGCATGCCAGCAGTATTTCATTTATAACTGCTCGAACTCTGAACCACATATACATTCTTGGATGTTTTCATTGTACCTTTTCATATTTCTCCTTTAGTTTTGCTGCCTTCTGTTCAAATGGCTGTTTATCTTTGGCTGACTGCTCAGACCACATTTCACCTAGTTTTTTTGCAGTATCCCCAATAGACAAGCCAGGATGGTCACTTTTGATCTTTGGACGATGTTCAGAACAAAAGAGAAAGAACGCAGATCTGATCAGGGAGAAAGAAAGAAAGAAAAAGGTGTCACACTGACCAAAACTGAAAATACACTTTTCATTTCCGGATGAAGACACTTACGGGGGCCTTTTAGGAGCATTGGGATCCTTTTTCTTTCCCTTCTTCTCGCCTTTAGGAGGAATATAATTTTTCATCTCTCTGTCATAACGAGCTTTATCTCCTTTCGCCAGATCTTCAAACTTTGATTTTTCTTTTGCAGACATTGTCTGCAGACACATTGCAAAAAGAGGCGTTAGATCAGCTAAAAGGCCTGGTGACTCATTAACAGCTAACAGCAGCTGCACCCGAGGATCCTTTTCTTTCCCATAAACCCATGAAACAGGCTGACGAGGCGGTGGGGGAGGGGAGTCACGATTCCCAGACACGAGACCCCGCACCGTTCTCCACTGAGCTAGCAGGGAAGCCCCGCCCGCCCCGAGGTGCGGCCTGGCCGGTGGGCGGGCGCGGGCCCGGGCCCTCTCTCACCTTCCATCTCTCCGAGCACTTCCGGGAAAACTCAGCGAAGTTGACCGAGGAGTCCGGGTGCTTCTTCTTGTGCTCCTCGCGGCAGGTCTGCACGAAGTACGCGTACGAGGACATCTTGCCCCGCGGCTTGTTGGGGTCGCCTTTGCCCATGGCGGAAGCGGTCACGGGGCCCTTGGGAAGGAGACGCGGAGTGAGGGGAAAGGGACGGCGGCGCTTGCCGGGCGGGGCTGCGGCTGAGGCCACTCCCGCCGATCCCCTAGCGGCGGCTTCCCGCCTCACCATCCCCCGGGCCCGGCCCCTCCCTCTCCCGAGGAGCCAAGCGGCCTCCGGCTCTGAGTAAACTTCCACGGGGCGGGGCGGCCTCCCCGGGACCAACAGGCGCCTCCACCCCACCCCCCACCAGCGGCCCCGCCGAAGCCACAAACCCCCCTCCCGAAATGCCACCGCCCCCCCACACCTCGCGCCCCAATCCGCGGGCGCGGCCCTGCCGACCTGGAGAGCCAAGAAGCCCCCCTAAAACCACCGCCCCCCGCGAGGGATCAAGCACCCAGTGCGCCCAGGAGCCGCCGCGCCGCACCCCACGGCTAGTCCCGTCCCGTCCCGACTCCCACTGGCACCGTCACCAGCACGGAGCGGTGCGGACGCTCCTCAGGGCAGGCTGCAGTTGTTGGGGCCTTGCCTGGTGCGGTGAGAGGCGGCGGCTGCGGGGTGTCGGGCTCTGGTGCTGGGATCTGCTCCGTCTGCCCCAGCCAAATGGTTTCTCTCCAACGCACTTACAGCCTCTTGTTTTCCACAGTCCTACCCGGCACAGCAACTTGACCCACAGCACCTTCGGGCCCGCCTACTGCGTCATTCGATTGGCTGACACACCCTTTCGAACCGCACACGGTCACGCCCCTAGGCTTGTGAGTACAATGGATTGGGTCCTAGCTCTCTTTACGTCATCCCAAGAGCAGCGCATAAGTTAGGTCGAGCCTCAGGGGTTCGTTGGCTTCTGTACTCGTTGGAACCGGTTAGGGAGAGGACGAGGGCGGGACTAAGATCGACGGCGCCGATTGGAGGTGAGCAACAGTTTAAAAAACCGCGGGGATGTCCACGATTGGCTGCAATGGAATACCCGAGCTGCGATTGGACAAAGCGGGGTGGAGTAGCGTGGTTTAAAAATACAAAGGGAGGGGGAGGGATATGAAGTGAGAAAAACAAGAGACGCCTGAAAAAGGTGCGGGTGGTGGACAGGATTGGCAGTCTGAAAAGAGAGATGGCTGTGGCTTGAGGAAAGGGGGAGGGCGGGCGGATTTATTAGTAAACTTCTTATTTACAGCCTACAGGCCGTTAAAAACAACGGGGTTTGTGGACACACACCACGCTCGCATGGGTAACATAGGCCGGCATTAGGGGGCTGCTGTCGGTCGTGAATGTGTGGAACCTGGAGCGGCTCCTGGGGACTATTACTCCCAGCAGGCCTTGCTCCGTCTCTAAGGCGGCAGCTCGGTGCAAGGTGGAGTAAAGCATGCTGGGAGTTGTAGGCCTCTATTGAGCGAATTTACTCAGCAGTTCGCTCCTGTGTTGAGGCGTCCGCGTCCCCTAGGAGGGTCGGGGATTTCTTTCCCAACCAAGCGTTGTTGAGGCTGAGAGGCGCGGGGAACAGGCTTGGTTTTTGTAAACTGGAAAGTCCAAGATCTCTGTGCCCTCCCCCCGATATTTTTCTCTGATTGGCTTTGCCGCCCCCCGCCCCGTGTTGAAGGAAAAGGGCTTTTCCCAGTGCCTGGCTACTGCTTTTCCGGCTCCCTTCTCCCCCCAGCGTTTCACACTACGCAGGGATCGATGGGGACAGATTTCAATGGCGGGTGTGTTTGGCCCTCCCTCGAGGGAGGGGAGATTTGAAGAGTGGCCGAGGGTTGGTGTGAGTAGGGGGTATAGCTGGACGGGAGGATTGGGGATGCAGGAAGAGCAGACTCAAGGGCTTGGTCGGGAGCGAGGAGCTGCAAGGCTGCTTGTCAAGCTTAGGCAGTTTGATTCGGGGTAAACTGCGGAGAACTGTGGAAACGGCTCATTGGAATGCACGCAGCAGACATCCACCCCCCCCACCCCCCCAGAGCGAGAGTGACTGTAAACACTGCCTTAAACAGCCGCTCCAAGAGCCCTCCTGCCTGCCCTCCTCCCCAGAGCGTGTGTGGGAGAGCTGGCAGCAGCAGGGCCAGAGGTGGGTTATGTTTTGCTGATCCAACGAACAACGTGTGGCAAATAGCAAAACCATGTTTTAACTTTCACTTCTACGCCGCCTCCTCAAACCATCACAACAAGTCCCCTTTCACTATCTTCATTGTTAAATGAAGCTGAAAGCGGGACGCGCTTAGCTTTGTTCTGTAGCACGGGTTAGCGTTTACAGCTCAGAGGGAGGGTGCAGTTCATGCTTTGGGGCAGGAGGAAGGTTAACGGCTATTGTTGGGTGGTGGGGATGTCTGATAACCGCACCTTCTTCCTGCTCCTACTTTCAAGGTGGTTGATTGGGGTTATAACGCCCAGGAGCTCTGGATCAGTAATTATGGCTTCCCAGACTTTCTGAATTGTATAGGTCTGGTCCATACAGTGAATCCCCCTCATCAGCTAGTCCTTAAAGGTAGCATGGGTGATGTTTGTGCGTGCTGCTTTCAAGCTTTGCTTTATGAAGTGTTTCCTTCTTACTGCGCTTTCCCAGCTCTTCTCCTGTGACAGCTGAACTTCTTCCTGTGGAATCAGAGCCTAGAACTTGTGTAGCTAGGAAGTTTTGACCTGCCTAGTTCCTCTCATTTGGAGCAAGCCTCTTTTCTTGGTAAGTGAGACAGTTTTTACAAACCCTTCCTTTAGGAATGTAGGACACTTTTTTACAATGCATATTTCAATGATGAATTTGCACTCTCACACTTTTTTTTTTTTTTTTTTTTAATCCTCATATAAACTATCAGTCTTCAGTCTATGATTGAAGAGGCTGGGAGGTTTCCCCTTTCATCTCTTGTACAAGGATAAAAGGAGCCAGTTTCAACAAAGAGTGGTCATCTGTTTTTTATGTTGTAGTTTTCCTGTAGAGAGAGCTGTAGTTAAAAGCCTAGAGACCGTATTCAGTAACAGTAAATCTGTCCTGTCTACAAACTGTTAACTTTTACAGTTAGTACTTATCAAAGCAACATGTTACACCGGGGAGTGAATTTGGCCCTCAGAGTTTAGGTGCTAAAACTTGTACATGCTTTTATTTCTTTCTGTTCTCCTCTCCTCTTCCTACTCTAGATCTATTTTTCTTTTGATATTATCTTAGTCTGTTTTGTTGTCACTAAGGCCTGGTCTACAATACAAAGTACAGTCGATGTAAGTTGCCTTGCATCAACCTAGGTGTGTGTGTGTGTGTGTACACTTAGACCTGGTACACCCTAAAGAGTTATGTCGATGTAAGGCAACTTACAATACAATATTTTCTCCTGCTGATGTAACTAGGTCAACATAGTGGCATTGCAGACACTGCATTGCTTATGTTAATTTAACTGGCCTCCAGGAGCTGTCCCACAATTCCCATTATGACCGCTCAGATCACCATTTTGAACTCTGCTGCCCAAAGCAGTTATTCTGGTGCGGAACTGCTGATATGCTGCTTTTACAAGGAGCTGCATGCTATCCTCTGCAAATTTACTTCTTGCTATGATCTCAGAATGATATGCTCTCCCTTTTCCCCTGTGCTTTGCATTTTGCAACCCCTTCCCAAGACACCCACAGTGGGATAGCTACCCATGGTGCACTGCTCTCTGTGCTAATATAAGCTGCTAATATGGACACACTCTGCTGATGCAAGGAGCATAGTGTGGACGTGGACAATCAACTTAGTTACTGTGGTGGCAGTATGATGACTTAAGTTGACTTAATTTTGTAGTGTAGAGATGTTCATAGATTTGTCTCCCACCAATGTAAGTGCCTTGTTATGGCAATGCAGTAACACCATGGTTGATGTACTGAGGTCAACACAGTGCATGTGTAGACACTACATTACCTATGCTACCCTAACAGTTCTCAAGCACCATTCCCACAATGCCCAGCGCTGACCGCTATGGGATCAAGGACACCAGAACATCACACTCCACCACTTATAAAACTGAATTTTTGAAATTCCTTTTCTTCATTGCCCAGCTTGGAGAACTATGTGTGTACACCATTGTTGTATGTAAATACCCAGCTGACCATGCTGGCTGTATGCTCCAGATGCTCCGGTCTGGAGTAAACAGGAGATATTGGATCTCCTGGGCCTATGGGGAGAAGAGGCTGTGAAGGCACAGCTATGGACCAGCCATAGAAATGTCGACATTTCCTGCATTCCCTGTATAATCTGCTTGTAGAAGGGGTATCGGTAGCAGTGCCGCATGAAAGCAAAGGAACTATAGCAGGCATACCAAAAGGCCAGGGAGGCCAACAGTCGATCTAGTGCTAAGCTGCAGACCTGCCGCTTTTAAAAAGAGCTGCATGCCATACTTTCTGGAGACCCACTGCCACCCTACAGATCTCCATGAATACCTCTGAGGTGCTCGAGAGACAGAACCCTGCTGTAAAGAGCGATGGTGAGGAGAATGAGGAAGATGCGAAATGCCTCTGGGGGTCCACCTGTGTTGCAATCCAGGACCTGTTTGAGACTCCACTGCCGTCCAGTCAGTCCTGGCAGTTGAGAAAGGGCAAGCCTGATGCAGGGGAAGAAACCCTGGGTCAAGCACATACATGTGTCCCCCATTACAGTGATGTACTGATGGCACTCACAACTTAGCAGGACACAGCTATCGACTTTTCATTAATTTACTTGTACAAGAAGAGGTAGCGGTACACCAAAACTCAACGTAGTATTCCAGAAGTGGTCTCACCAGTGTCAAATACAGGAGTAATATAACTGTTCATTCCCCTGTAGTTAGCTGGGGACCATGTGGAGCAGTTTACGTATACAAGGATGGCCCTTGAATCCTCCTGAGAGATCTTGATAAAACTTCCATGAAGGTACTCTGCAATCCTCTCCCAAAGGTTTCTAGGGATGGCAGCCCTATTTCTTCCTCTGCGGCAGGATACTTTTGCATGCAGTTTGGCAATAATTTTGACAGTCGCCATTGCAGTAAACAGGCTAGCAGCATATGGGCCATGGTGGCTCTGGGATGGCAGTAGCAGCTGTGCTCTCTCTGCCTTTGTCACCCTCAGGAGGGAGATACCAGCTAAAATCACCGGCTGTGGATAGTGCTGTATGCTCATAGTTTCATGCAAATGAGCAATTCCCTTGCCTGTGGCAGGACATATTTACCATGGATGGTGCTGTGCACAATCACTCCAAAGCACAAGTGTCAATAAGCATGTCTTGTTTAAAACTTATGGGGAGCAAGGGAAGAGAATTCTGACACTTAACTTTCACTTCCTGTTGTGGCCATACTGATAACGGTATCTCTCTGTTTTGTCTGTAGCTTGCCGCCATTGTGGGCTTAAGGGGTTCCCCCTCCATACCCACGCAACACCTGAGCCAGAGAAAGAAGAGGACTTGGGATGATGTGTTCAGCAAGATCCTGCAAGCCAGTGCTGCATTGTACCTTGAGAAGAGGGCCTAGAGTGTGAATATTTCAGTGTGTAAGAAGAAGAAAAGAGCAGACAGGAGAGAGTCCCAGCACAATAAGGAGAGGAAGATGCATGAGGACATAATGGGGCTTCTCTGGCAGCTATCACAGATGCTGCACACTCTGTTAAACCCGTAGGTCGTCAAAGCATGCCATCACCTCTCTTTGTAGTTCCTGGAGAACTCAGTTTTACCACTTCCCTACATCCTCTCCCCATAACATTCTATGTGGCAGCGGGGGCCGCATCTTTATTCTTACCACTCCACACCAGGGGAGAGTAAGGACAATCACAGCTTCACATACCATGACCTTGAGAGCCACGGTTGCTGTATGTGTAACCAAAATGGATATGAATGTTCTTTCCCCCTTGTTAAGTTCTGTCCATTAATTTATTAAGTTTTTAATGTATTTGCTCTTAAATTTAACTGATTTTTTTGCACTAGTTTTGTTAAATAAAACTATACTTTGGGGGCGGGAATTCCTTTATTAATTCCCACTATGTGCTGCAGAAGTCTAACAGTACTGAAAGCATTCACTCACTTGTTACTCTACAGTGTGACACAACTCATAGGATCAGTGACAAACGCACTGCAATAATTATGTAAAACAAACACCGCAAAATCAAATAGGTGCAGTGATAGTAGTATATTCAGAGATGTACACCAGGCACCACACGATTCCAAACAGGTCCCAAAACTGCAAGGCCAAGTGGAGCACAGTCCACTACAGCACATTACTGTAGTTCACCAATAAAGTGCTTTCTCAAGGCCTCCCTCAGCAGCATTGAACTGCATTGAACTCTTCTAATGGCTCTTGGGTCGGGCTACTCTCACTCAACAGCCAGCCGCTCTACTTCTGCCACCATGGTAACTTTTGCCTCATAGATATTATGTAGAACATGGGAGGCAGTTATAACCATTGGTATATTTTTCTCACAGAGTCCAGGCATGTGAGTAAACAACTTTCAATCTATCAAAAGCATATTCAGTTGTCATTCTGCACCTGCCAAGCCAGAAGTTGACTCTTTCCTTGGTGCTGTCAAGCTGACCAGGGTATGGCTTCATGAGCCAGGTAGCAAAGGGCAGGCTGGGTTCCTTAGATCACTATTGGCATTATTGCCAATGGTAACTGGGTTGGAAAAGTCCCTGCTTTAAGCTTTCTGAACAGTCCTGTGTTCTTAAAGATACATGCATCATGTTCCTTTTCTAACCAGCCTCTGTCGATGTTGATGAAGCATTCCCAGTGATCCACCAATGCTTTCATAACTGTAGAGTAGCCCTTCCTGTTGAAGTACTCTGGGGTAAGGTGGGCTGGTGCCAAAATACAGATATGCATTACCATCTATCACTCCACCACATTTCGGGAATCCCATTGCTGGAAATCCATCCAGTACGTTCTGCACATTGCTGAGTGTCACAGCCTTGCAGAGCAAGAGACAATTATTAGCCTTACATGCTTGAATGACAGTGAGCTGTAGCTCACAAAAGCTTATGCTCAAATAAATTTGTTAGTCTCTAAGGTGCCACAAGTCTTCCTTTTCTTTTTGTGGATACAGACTAACACGGCTGCTACTCTGAAACCTGTCATTATGCAAGGCACTGAATTTAGCTGTGTGGCGTGGAAATCTATCAACTTCATGAAAAAACTCGTACAGATATAGACCAACATCATCATCCTTTCCAAATGCAAACAGATGGACATCATACCAAAAGGACTGAAGGTAAAAAAGCCATTACAATCTACATACCACACAGCCTATGCTGACAACTTGTACCACACACTCAAAGAAACTGCGGAACCACCTGATCAACATCCTATCCAGCAAACAGGGAAAGATTAAGAATGGGCTCTCAAAACTGGATACTCTCATAAAAAACCAACCTTCCACACAAACTTCCTCGTGGCTGGACTTTACAAAAAACTAGACAAGCCATTTACAACACACACTTTGCTTCTCTACAAAAGAAAAAGGACACTAAACTATCTAAACTAATACATGCCACAAGGGGCCACAACAGTGGTTCCCTTAACCCACCCAGCAATATTGTTAATCTATCCAACTATGCTCTTAGTCCGGCAGAAGAATCTGTCCTATCTCGGGGCCTCTCCTTCTGCAGACCCCTTCACCCCCACAAACATGATATACTTCTGTGGTGACCTAGAATCCTATTTTTGACGTCTCCGACTCAAGGAATATTTCCAGTGCACCTCTGAACAACATACTAACCCACAGAGACCTTCCTACCAAGACTTCTACATAGAGTGCTTTTGCTGAGGTGCACAGGCTGAAATTGTGGAAAGGCAGCATCACTTGCCCCATAACCTCAGCCGTGCAGAACACAATGCCATCCACAGCCTCAGAAACAACTCTGACATCATAATCAAAAAGGCTGACAAAGGAGGTGCTGTTATCATCATGAATAGGTCGGAATATGAACAAGAGGCTGCTAGGCAGCTCTCCAGCACCACTTTCTACAAGCCATTACCCTCTGATCCCACTGAGGGTTACCAAAAGAAACTACAGCATTTGCTCAAGAAACTCCCTGAAAAAGCACAAGAACAAATCCGCACAGACACACCCCTGGAACCCCAACCTGGGGTATTCTATCTGCTACCCAAGATCCATAAACCTGGAAATCCTGGGCGCCCCATCATCTCAGGCATTGGCACTCTGACAGCAGGATTGTCTGGCTATGTAGACTCACTCCTCAGGCCCTACGCTACCAGCACTCCCAGCTATCTTTGAGACACCACTGACTTCCTGAGGAAACTACAATCCACCGGTGACCTTCCTGAAAACACCATCCTAGCCACTATGGATGTAGAAGCCCTCTACACCAACATTCCACACAAAGATGGACTACAAGCCTTCAGGAACAGTATCCCCGATAATATCACGGCAAACCTGGTGGCTGAACTTTGTGACTTTGTCCTCACCCATAACTATTTCACATTTGGGGACAATGTATACCTTCAAATCAGTGGCACTGCTATGGGTACCCGCATGTGTTATACCAATAAAATAAAAACCAGCAGGATCTTATTAAAGGGGAAAAGGCAAAATGCCACATTTATTGTGAATACAGAAAGAATCATAGTAAGCAGTTAATTATAGCTATAACATTCCATTCAATTTCATATTTAGTCACACATTCATTCATACACACACACACACACACAGGTTCTGCAAGGTTGTCATAGTTACCAGCCTTAGAGTTGCTCATGTCAAGTCACTGACCAGGTGGCCTGGACATGAGGAGGGAGCAGGGCCTTGTCAGATGCTCATCTGATGCTCCTGGAAGTTGGTTTGAAGAATCAGACCCCAAAGTTCTCATTTTCTAGAGTCCATTTTTATAGGAATTTTTTCCTATGCCAGTCTGTGGCTTCATCATGCTGTTGCTGAATCAGTCAGCAGATGGTACATTCTTGATGGCTCCGTGCTGCCAGATGTTATCTTGTTCTTTGGTTCTCCCATTCTTGAGGCTGTTGGGTGGATTCCAGTCTGCCCTCCGGGGGTCCTCTGGTTATTTCCACTTGACGCCTTCTTTAGCCGATGGACACTGGATTCTTAGGCTGGCACCTCCCTGATCATTCAGTTATTATCCACACCAAGCATCCATCCACATACATCCTCTATCTCTATTTTAATCACAATTGTTAACAAAGCGAGATGAATACAACAAAAGGGCGGGGAGTCTCTGGGTGCTGTTTCTGTTGTTACAGAGTATTGCTTTGAGTCTTTCTCTGTGTGAGGAGTAGTTGTTACAAAGAATTGCTTTGAGAACAGACTCTGTCTTAGAATGTACTAACACAATTAGCAGCTTGCAAGTTTCACATAGAGAGGGAGAGAAACAGTACCAAAAACCAAGAGACCTCTTAATTAGTAATACCCTGGAATTTAAACTCATTTGTGATTTTAATACAGAAGTTCTTTAATGTGATCCGACACATGGCCCCATAGTATGCCAACATTTTTATGGCTGACTTAGAACAACACTTCCTCAGCTCTCGTCCCCTAATGCCCTACTCTACTTGCGCTATATTGATGACATCTTCATCATTTGGACCCATGGAAAAGAAACCCTTGAGGAATTCCACCATGATTTCAACAATTTCCATCCCACCATCAACCTCAGCCTGGACCAGTCCACACAAGAGATCCACTTCCTGGACACTACGGTGCTAATAAGCGATGGTCACATAAACACCACCCTATACCGGAAACCTACTGACCTCTATGCCTACCTACATGCCTCCAGCTTTCATCCAGACCACACCACACGATCCATTGTCTACAGCCAAGCTCTACAATACAACCACATTTGCTCCAACCCCTCGGACAGAGACAAACACCTACAAGAGCTCTATCAAGCATTCTTACAACTACAGTACCCACCTGCTGAAGTGAAGAAACAGATTGTCAGAGCCAGAAGAGTACCCAGAAGTTACCTACTACAGGACAGGTCCAACAGAGAAAATAACAGAACTCCACTAGCCATCACCTTCAGCCCCCAACTAAAACCCCTCCAACGCATCATCAAGGATCTACAACCTGTCCTGAAGGACGACCCATCACTCTCACAGATCTTGGGAGACAGGCCAGTCCTTGCTTACAGACAGCCCCCCAACCTGAAGCAAATACTCACCAGCAGCCACACACCACACAACAGAACCACTAACCCAGGAACCTATCCTTGCAACAAAGCCTGTTGCCAACTGTGTCCACATATCTATTCAGGGGACACCATCATAGGACCTAATCACATCAACTACACTATCAGAGGCTCGTTCACCTGCACATCTACCAATGTGATGTATGCCATCATGTGCCAGCAATGCCCCTCTGCCATGTACATTGGCCAAACTGGACAGTCTTTACGTAAAAGAATAAATGGACACAAATCAGATGTCAAGAATTATAACATTCAAAAACCTGTCGGAGAACGCTTCAATCTCTTCGGTCACTCGATTACAGACCTAAAACTGGCAATTCTTCAACAAAAAAACTTCCAAAACAGACTCCAACGAGAGACTGCTGAATTGGAATTAATCTGCAAACTGGATACAATTAACTTAGGCTTGAATAAAGACTGGGAGTGGATGGGTCATTACACAAAGTAAAACTATTTCCCCATGTTTATTCCTCCCACCCCCACCCCCCGCTGTTCCTCAGACGTTCTTGTCAACTGCTGGAAATGGCCCACCTTGATTATCACTACAAAAGGTGTCCATTCCCCCCGCCGCCACCCCCCTCCCCGCTCTCCTGCTGGTAATAGCTCACCTTACCTGATCACTCTGGTTACAGTGTGTATGGTAACACCCATTGTTTCATGTTCTCTGTGTATATAAATCTCCCCACTGTATTTTCCACTGAATGCATCCAATGAAGTGAGCTGTAGCTCACGAAAGCTTATGCTCAAATAAA